TTATGACTTTGACTCTAGTTGACTTGACAACAACCAAACACAGCAATGCTACTAAAACCCACGAAAAAACAATAAAAACTACAAAATCAAACACAAGCGAAATTTATCCAAGAGATAATGCAAAGTTGTCGCTAAAAAATGGTACAGAAAAGACCGTTGTGTGAACTTTTTCTGAGAAAAACTTCTGCGCAACATTTTAACGCATTTTTAGTACTAAATTTAGTAGAAAATAGAACAAGTTCAAATTATTTAAATAATTTTTTTTGTACTAAATTTAATACTAAATTTGCATTAATGCAAATTAATGCATTAATCTAGTTCTAAATTTAGTACTTAATTTAATATCGTAACATACAGCCTTAATATATGCATTACTAATATGTCTTTAGGTAGGTATTATGTGCCACAGTTTGGCAAAGCTGTATACGGTCAAACTACGTAACTAATAATGCATTTTATTTGTTGCACTAGTGTTACACTCGACACTGTATTCGAACTGTCATACTTGTCTAAAATATATGCTACATGTGCACTACAGTCAAATTACACTGAACAAATCAAATGCGATTAGTACAGAAAAAAATCCACTATAACACAATTACACAACTAGCACTAGTAGCACTGGCTCATATTGTCGATTATCCCCGTGCACGCATAATAATAAACAGCGTAAATTACACAAATTTTCAGTAGCAATATGGAAATAAAATCAAAGAAATAAATATCTTGTGACTTATTGATAGGGAACCAATTTTAATTATTAATTTCTATGGGTTCTTTCGAACTAAAAATGAAGAAATATAAATTACAATCGCAAATATACCAATTATTTTTGTTAACACGTTTTGTTACTACGTTATTATGTAATGGTAATGTTTTTATTTTTACATTATAACCTATTCTTCAATGACAACTTATTGAGTTTAGGCAAAATATTATACATTTTCTCGTAAGTATTGTTGCCTGTCTGTTTTATTGATTTTTATTGATTATACTACTTTTTTCTTAGCTGAAGTAATAAAAATATATAATAATAATTAATTTTTTCACTTGTTTTACAAATCCATATACTTTTATTAAAATCAACATATATATTTTTTAAATACGAATTTTATTAAAAATTATATTGTAAGTATACGCAAATATCTTCCGTTAGTTCATAAATTAGTTGGCGCTGCTGTCACTCACAGAACTAATAATGAATGAAAATAGGTGGACTGGGCTTTACAAGATGAGCGTACATCGAAAAATAATCGCAAAAAACTAAAAAGAAATTAATTCTGTTATCGATTATTTTTGGGAGGAAAAAGAAATTAAAAGTTGCGTTTTCCTAGTGTTCGTCGACGTGTTTGAGTATTTTTTATGTTTCTATGTTTCTATAAATATTTTATTTTTTTTATTATTATGTATGTGTTTCTTGTTTTTTTATTTTGGTTTTTGTCTTTTTTGTTGGGTTATTTTATTTATTAGAAACTTTTGTCAATTTGTATTGCTCCTTTATTTTTCATTTTCTTTGTATTTCAACAAATAACCATTCTAATTTTTTCAAAATTTTGCCCTTCCCTATAGAATTGTGTAACGACGCCCATGTCTGTATACTCGATAACTTATAAACGGATAAACAAAAAAACACCAAATTTTAAACTTAAGCTGTAATCCATCCTGTGGTGAGCTGATTATATTTTGGGCATTGGTCTTTTTTTAATTTAAGGAATGTAAAAGTTTTTTGCAATATCATTATCTATAATTTTAATTCCATACATGATTTCTCTAAGATGGAAAAATGGAAAAATTTAGGCCAAAGTGTAAAATTTTAATTTTACAGTATTTTCCTTGAATATATATAAAAAAATCCGATGTGTTCAACGCATGACTTTCCTATCTAGTTATTATAGGCCTATTCCGCTTATTTTGTACAACCTCTTATATAGCACCTCTATAAATGTTTAGAGAATAAACTAAATATATACATTTTCCACATACATTTAACTCGAAACATTGTTCTACAGATATTTATTGAAAACGAAAATACTGAAAAATTTAAATTTAGCACTTTTCTTCCAATTTTTCCATTACGGTCCATTTTAGAAAAATTATGTAGAAACAAAAATTATAGAGATCGATATCGCAAACATCTTTTAGTTTAACAATTTTCTTAAAAATCAGAATTTTTTACATTTTGTCAAATTTCTCGAATACGGACCATTCCAGGAAAATTTGACATTAAACAAAAATTATAGATAATAATATTAAAAGTAACTTTTATTTAAACAATTTTCTTCTCTAAATATAAATAACAGATATACTCCATAAAATATAAAAACGGCTTCCCATAAAGTACCCTCCCCCCCTGATGTTCCGACTTTGTCCAAAATCTAGTCATTTCATGTCAGGCCGAAATAAAATAAGTTTAAAATTTAATGTTTTTTCCTTTATCCGTTTTCATCAAAATTCGAAATTTACACATTTTCTCAAATATCTCGAATACGGTCCATTTTAGAGAAATTATGTATGGGATAAAAATTACAGAGAATTATATAACAAACAACTTTTATTTAAACAATTTTTATAAAAAATTAATTTTTTTACATTTTGTCAAATTTCTCGAATATGGACCATTTTAGGAAAATTTTGTATACAACAATAATTATAGATAATAATATTGCAAGTAACTTTTATTTAAAGAATTTTCTTCTCCAAACGTAAATAACGGATATATTCCATCTAATCAGTTTATCGCAGTCCGGAATAAAGCTTAAGTTTTAAATTTGGTGTTTTCCTTTGTATCGGTTCATGAGTTATGGTGGATACAGGCACACACTCACACACTCACACACTCACACACTCACACACTTACACACACTCACTCACACACACACACACACACACACACACACACACACAACACACACACACACATACACACACACACACACACACACACACACACATACACACATACACACACACACATACACACACACATACATACACACACACACACACGCGCACGCACGCACCCACACACACGCTCGCACGCACCCACACACACAGACACACACACACACACACACACACACACATACACACACACGCGCACTCACACACACACACACACACACACACACACACACACACACACACACACACATACACACACACACACACACACACACACACACACACACACACACACACACACACACACACACACACACACACACACACATACACACAAACACACACATACACACAAACACACACATACACACAAACACACACACACACACACACATCATTCCGAAAATAGTCAAAACGGATTCAGGGGACCCCAAAACGTAAAAATCCGTCGAAAACTGGAGGTCGAAAAAATCATGATTCCTATACTTTCCTTATATCTGTATACAGATAGGAAAGTAAAAATGTTTCGAGTAACATGTGTGTGTGTGAAAATGTCTATTTAGTTCATCCTCTAAACATATACAGCGGTGATGCAATAGGTTGTACAAAATTATCGCAAAAACTTATAATAACTAGACAGGAAAGTCATGCGTTGAACACATCGGATTTTTGTTTATTGTTCTTGCTATTATAAAAATTAACTCAAAAGAGCTCAGATAGTACACTGCAAAGTTTGTTCTACATAAATAATAAAAATATAGTAGTTAGGTTATGATAATAACAAACGAAGTTTGATAATAAGTATGTGAAGTATCATACATTTATTTAAGCATAAACAAAACTTTATGTGAAGAGTGACAAAATTAAATTTCTTCATTTGCTCTTTCTTTTGGATATAATTCAATTTCAATACCATTCGCGGTATTTCGTCTTGGCCACATTTGAGTTGAAATTATTTTCCTTATTTTAAATTGTCAGCCTGGATTTTTCGTTCAACTTACTACAAGCGACCTTTGTTTTTGCTTACTAGGAATAGATGGAGTCGATGGCGTTACTAGTTTCACTACTTGAATATTTATTCTATTCGTAACCAACGCTATTTTATGCTAGTAAATTTGGTGCCTTTGTTAATTCCATTAGAGACTGGAATTGACTTTCTATCAATTTTTTGCTGATGAGTCCTAATAACAACGAAACTGGTTCAAGAATGTCGTTCTCCTTAGTAAGCAAAATCAAAGATACACTGTTGAAATAAATTTTTATATCTACTCTCTTTCCTTCGGATATAATTCAATACATATTGCGGTATTAACCAAAGGGGTAGTTTTTCCGAAGGGAAACGGTCGATGGTATGTTGTGTGATATATTGCTTTGTTTTATTTATATTATTTTACGTCTTGGTCACATTTAAGTTGAAATTATTTTTATGTTTTTATGTGAAGACTTTTGACTTGGACGTTAAAATTCTAATTCTGCTCATAGCAAAATATAAGTGAACAATACTATAGCACTGTATAGTAAAAAGGAGACTTAGAAGCAAACCGAACACCTGGAAAATTTATAATTCCTTCTGAACCTTTGTCTTTAGTCTGACTTATGGAAATATTAATAATGACAAAAGTAGTAAAACCTTAAATTTTTTGTAATCTTTCAAAAAATATATATTTTGAAAATTTTTAAAAAATGTATGCTAGTCTGTGTCCACTAGCTCTCTATACTAACTCCGAATATACCAAATCAAAACTAGTCTATGTCCATTATTATTATTTTTACTATTATTATATACTGAAACGATAGGTCCAACGAGCTTAGTTTGTATTTTGCGATTTTATTGGCATACCCTCCATTATGGACTTAGACTACTTCTGCCCTAAATTCGGCGAACTTTAATGTATATCTACTTTGGCGTTAAAAATGCAAAATACGAAAATATAGAGATAGTATAGTTCGGCTCTCAATGGACTTAAAATAAGGCATGTCGACCCCATCGACAAGATGAAAACAAAACATTTTTTGAGAGAATGCATCACAATGTACCTACCACTCTAACATATATAGTTAAATATTTTGGTAAGTTTACTATTATTTTATTGCATTAGGTCCAAATCCCCATCCAATTAAGGGAACGAGCGGAGTAGTGAATATTGATCCAAGTAAAAGGCATACAATTGATGAAGAACAAAAATTATGGTTTGGAAACGTACTGGATGATAAAAGAGATACATTAACTTTAGAGGTAAAGTATTATTAATGCTAAAATTTTTCATTCTTCTAAAATCTAAAATTGTTCATTCGTGCATAATTTAGGTCTCTATTGCCATTCTGGTATAATAATGAAAGGCAAATTCCTTTCATCATACGAATTATGCTAAATAAATATTTAAAAAATAACCTCCATTAGCAGATGCTTTTGCCTACACCAGTCAATACAAATAGCCTTTCATATCTGTTTGTTAGAAATACCCGGCATATCAATATAAAGATAAAAGTGTCTTTTAAAAACACGCCATCATTTATTAGATTCAGTTTTTAATACATTAGATTGCAGTTTAGCTAAAATAATTACTGTAGATCAAGAAGACAAGAAAATACAGAAGGTGCTTTTCTCCTTTCTTCAATCAATTATGTCGAACACCATCGCCATAACAGCAGAGTATTTTGTAGTAGAAAGAGCATTTGATGCGAACTAAATCCAGTTATTAGCACTGACTGTATCTTATTTTATATCTATCTCTTATCCTCACCATAACTACAACTGTTGGGTTGGCTAATACTCAGTAGATGTGTATTTTTTGCCACATTTTCATAATGTCAAATCAAATTATAAACACAAACTCTCACTATCAAATGCAAAAACAAAATAACATTTGCAGATGTGTACTTTACACTCGGGTTAGGAAATATAATAATAACAAATGTTGGTAAGGAAGTGGTATTTGGGCAACGACGAATAACTACTAGTTTAAACCATTCATTCTTAGTTATCCTTATTTATCGCCATCATTATTGCAAAGCACAAATTGTGTTTTATATTACGCACATAGAGCTGTTGCATCAGCTGCCGCATTAAAAAGAACGAGACGGCTGCTAATTTGAGTGGGGATGATTTGTGCAAGTTTGTTTATATGAGGAGCGAACATGCGCTTGATGAATTAATCGGTATTTACGTCTACTACACTTGTTTTAAACTACTGTCACTTTTCAAAATGAATTGAGTATTTTCTTGAAAAACTCTATGCAACTATAATAGTTGTAACGAGAAAAATACATTAAACTGATAATAACTGCCATTAACAATGCAAATATACTTCCTTAATGTAATGATAAAAGCTTTTGTGCATTAATTTTAGAACCAAAAACAATCCTTTTAATAAAACTCTCACATACGCTCTTATAATAATATTACAACTACGTGAATAACACAGTGAATTTTTGCAATTTGATTTTTGTAAACAAAATTTGTAGTTGTTCTTCATTGGATTTGCGCATGATTAATGAATAATGATCCTTTCAAAGGTAGATAGCAAGTGAAAGAAACACATAGATACTGCTAATTCCTTCACATTGATCTGTATTGAACAGTCCCATTCTGCATAAACTGCTTCTGTGAATGTATTTTTCTAATATGGATTGAATCCTAGTTGTAAAATATTTATATCAACATATTTATCTTTATGATCTATGACGATTGTCACATAATTTTAAATTTCCCTTTAATAGTCTTGGTGCAATCATCTATAAAAGTTTTACTTATATATATATATATATATATATATATATATATATATATATATATATATATGTTTAACTGATAATATCACTAACAATGTAATAATTTCCTAATTAGTATACTCCTAACGCAATCACTGGCATTTCTAGATTCAAACGAAAGTAATTATCTCACCTTTTCTCCCTGCAAAAGATTTAAACCACAAACGCCAATAGATGTTATCACGTGCGTTTCAACTCGCCAATAAAATTGGTTAAAATTAACTAGTGACGTAAAGCAACGCGATGAGCCACTTTCCGTTCTTCCTCGATCAAGGCAAGGTAGAAAGATTTTATCAACACAGCGAAGCAACAACTTTTTAAAACGACTTGAGAAGCCTCGCTCTGCCATATTGGCGTTTTAGTATTACCTCCTTAATAATTATGGCTATGTGGTTAGTTTTCTTACCGTCCTATCTCTCTCATATCAGTTCTAGGTAAACTCCTTGAAACTCTGCTCAAGGAAAGAATCAGGGACTTTTGTGAAGAACGAAACATAATTCCTCATTCACAACTTGGTTTCAGATCTCATCATCTGCATCTCCAAATCTCATCATCTGTTCTTCTCGATGTTCAAAAAGCCTGGCTGGACTAGTCGCAAAGCTCATGAACATAGATTTTCCCCTTAAAAACTCATACACTCATATATCACTGACATATTTATAACAGTCAAAATAGATAACGCTCTGGGTTACCACAGCGCTCCGTCCTGGCTCCTCTCCTATTCGCTCCGTGCGCGACAGCAGCGCCAAATTGTTTTGGTATTAAAGGGCTATTTCTGCCTATGCTGACAAATACAATTTTTAATAGAATTCGTAAATAAAAAGTATATATGTTAGTTTTAATAAAAGTATATGGATTTATAAAACAATTAAAACATTAATTTATTATTATTATATATTTTTCACGCTTAAATTGAAGAAAATTATGTATAATCATTAAAAATCAATAATAAAATATAGGCAGGCAACAGTATTTACGGGAAAATGTATGAGAAGTTGCCTAAGTCTAATAAGTTGTCATTGAAGAAACCATTTATAATAGCGTGAAGTTAAAATGTATAAAAAGGATCGCTACTTATATTTTCATTTTTGTTCTAAAGAAAACATAGAATAAATGATTAAAACTGGTTTCCGATCAGTAAGTCACAAAATTGCATACCAGCCAAATATTATAATCAACGGCAGAAATCTTGAAATCTAGTCCTTGCTGAATGAACATTTAAGAATAAAGGGATATTAAAGAACATCGTAAAATGATAATTTATTGTTTATTTAAAAACTTTCTAGTTTCTGATGTCTACTATTTCCAGCATTACTGTTATTATCACAAAAATAAAGGTAATTTTTCTTCTTATTGTACACCTATCCATTTATTTCTTTGATTTAATTTCCACTTTGTTAGTGAAATTTGTTATATAAGTTTTACTGTTTTTTTTTTGCTAGTATTTGTACAATTTTCAACACAGCAACTCCGGTTGCTTATTGTGTTGTTTTTACCTACTTTTTTGAAAAAAAGTCAAATGTATACGTGTATTTGATATGCCAAAATTACAAAATATCCCCCTAAAATGCACGAATTATCCGCAGCTAGCGCTAGTATCGCTTTTGCTTCCCTTTCCATGACTTCGCACGGAGCGAATACCTACCTCATATATACTCACGATATTCTACCCCAAAACCACCAATCGTCAAAATGTCTTCTTTACGCCGATGATACTGCTCTGCTCTCTGTAGCAAAAACTCTAAAACAACTAAGTACTCGAACCCAAAATCTACTAAATTAGTATTCCTGCTAGTGTAGCAGATGAAGGGTCTCAGTCAATCCACAAAAAACTTAATTTATTACTTATAAATATCCAAACTCTCAAAGAGCCACCTGTAATGTCTTAAAGGTTATTTAGGTTCTTTAATAATAAAAGCCAACACATCATTCAACTGTCTATTCAATACTAATCATTTTGTTATACAAATTATAGAGAATTATAAAGAACATAATATGAGTCCTTACCAGAGCTGGGACGAATCCTCAAAAAATTGATTCGAATCACGAATCCGAATCACAAGATGTGATTCGAATCACGGATCCTATGTCCGAATCCTTTTTGCAATAAAAAAGGATTCGAATCAAGTGATTCGAATCCATTTTTTGGATCACGAATACGAAATACTATCAGTGTCATACCATGGTATTATGTATGCTTCCGAATCTAATATCAATATCAATTATGTGTCTATTACGGACTATGACTTGCATACAAATGGTTGATACAAGATGTTGAAAAGAAACTTTTTTTTCTATAAATATGAACCATAAATAAATTAGAATCTACAAAAAATATATTTTATTTTAATACAAAAAACAAAAAATTAAATAAAAATGTCTTTTGGTTAGCCTTACATAGCACCAAAATTTCGAGGTGCGTCGATTATACCTGCAAACAAAAATAATCCTTAGACTGCACCAGACGAAGGAAGGCAAGTGTTAAATTTTAGGATTTTTTATGTTGGATATTCATTGCTAATTTGTGATGTCAAAAAAGGCATCAGAGCACCTAGGCAATTTTGAGTGGAAATCTATGTCATATTTTTAGGCTACTGGATTTTTGCAAAAATCAAGGTGCTCTGCTTGCTTCGAACGAAGTCAGCAGAAAATCTAAGTTTTTAAGTTTTCGAACGAAGCCAGCAAAGCACCTCTGTTTCAACAAAGCACCCTGTATTTTTTAAAAAAACACTATTTTTTTCGAAAAGCTTTATAATATTTTAAGAAACATGTAACATAAGTAGGATGTTTCCAGTAAAAAAAAATAAACCGAGGTGCTCTGCTAACTTTGTTCCAGCAAAGCACCCTGTATTATTTAAAAATAGGAATTTTTAGTAATTTTACAAATATTTCAAGAGCCTAAAAATAGTCTAAAAATGCGGTGTGGTTGTTTTTTAGAAAAAAAGCTTTAAAAAACCAAGGTGTTCTGCGGACTTTGTTCCAACAAAACACCCTGGATTATTTATAAATAGCAATTTTTTTGTAAAGTTTTATAATATTTCAGGAGCCTAAAAATGCAGTGTGGTTGTTTTTAGAAAAAAGCTTTAAAAAAACGAGGTGCTATGCTGGCTTCGTTCGAAGCTAGCAGAGAACCTTGATTTTTGAATAGACTATAAAAATAGCCTAAAAATATGGCATAGGTTTCAACTCAAAATTGTTTAGGTGCTCTGCTGCCTTCATTGGCATTAATTTGTAGATTCTTACGTTTATCTTCTAAATATTAACAATCGGTATTCAGTCTCAGACTCTCAGTCTGTTTCCGTTTACACTTCGCGACAAGTCACAGCATGAGTAGACCGTTCGCGACGGCGTAGTTTGGTCTCTAAAAGGATCCGAAACTAATATTGGTGATTCAAATACGAATCCTTAAGAATTTCCTCGGCTAATCCGGATCACGGATCCTTTTTTTCTTAATTATTCGAATACCGCTCGCGGACCCTCAAAAAGGATTCGAATCTGAGGACTCGAATCCTATGTATTCGAATCCTCCCCAGCTCTGGTCCTTACTCGTTATAACTATACAGAACAGGATGTGACAAAACCAATAGCGAGTCATGTAAAAGTTCCTATATACCTTAAAACTAAAGGTTAAGAAACTACAATAATATTTTACCACCAATTTTCCCCAAAACGTATCTTGTTTGGTAAAACCTGAGTAAAAAAGTTGGTTAAGTAATCGGTAATCTGTTTGTACTACTATAAAACAGGATCTACTTTATTACTTCCTATTTTCCTGAGATTCCATCAAAACACTCATTTAAAGAAAGAATGATAAAACTTAAAACAACTTTCGGAAGTACAAACAAAATTACATTCATAAAAAAATGTAAGAGTTCCTATTTTTCTTCTTTTGTGCTGTATTGATCTTGTATTTACAAATATCCAGTCACTTACAAAAACTTAATTTCGAAACAGTTATAAACGGTTGAAAAATAGAGTTTTATAAGAGTTTTATCCATTAATTCCCACCTATTTGCTTCTCTTAGCCAAAACCATTTGTATTTTATTATATAAGCTCCTAAAAATCACATATAAGATGGGTAACATAAAGCCAACAACCATAATTAATTATTGATGGAGCAGAAACTATAAAAATATAATGGCATTTCATCATTAAGCCAACATAGTCATCTTCCCACCAATCGCGGTAACGGGCCATCAGTTTCCTAACAGTTGGGATTCCTGTTTTCTAACATACATTTTTTAAATATATTCTTTACTTTCTCCAACTTCGTTATAGCTTGATTCTTTACCATATAATACCATCCATTTCATTTAATGCTATAAAGATCATTGCTTTTGTACGTAACTTCAGTATAGAGCTGTCATTTTATTAATCCGTGGTATAATATATCGAATACAACTTTTGGTATCGGAACTATCGATAATCGCATAAGTAAATGATAAATTCTTGTGTTTATTAATAGTCCCGATACCACTCGTTATACGATAATAATAGTTATATTAAGTACAAACCTAATTCTTAAAGTTATTGCTTCTATTGTTTAGATCTTTGCGCCTCCAAACATTCCAGTTGGTCTTTGGGCTGTAAAAGTAGAGACAAGTTTAATTAGTGCCAGGACACAAATCAATTCTTTTGATTACGACGGTGATCTCTATTTCATTTGCAATCCATGGAACTGCCATGATATGACATTCATGCCACAATCAAGACTCTTGGAGGAATATGTTTTAAACGAAACTGGTAAGATTTGGGTCGGACCTTTAGGTACGACCAAAGGACGTGAATGGATTTTCGGACAATTCGATGCTTGTGTTTTACCAGCGGTTCAGCTTATGTTTGACAAGTCTGGACTTGCTCATGCTAGGTTAGTAAAAAACCGTCACCGTAAATATTCCCACATATCTTATTAAGAACAGTGGTAATGGGCCTTGAGCTTTTTATTATTTTTTGATAAATTAAAAAAAAAAAAATCTCTGATAATTTTAGCCGTGGTGACCCAATAAGATTGTCTAGAATGATTTCAAAGATGGTAAACAGCAACGATGACGATGGTATTTTAGTTGGTAGATGGGACGGCGACTACGAAGACGGTACTGCACCATCTGCATGGACTGGTTCAGTGCCCATTTTGCAAGAATACTTAGATACACAAAATTCCGTCAGCTATGGTCAATGTTGGGTATTTTCAGGTGTCGCCACTACAAGTAAGGATGTTTTTAATAAATAAATTTATTGTTTAAAAATAGAAACGAATAAGTAGATATTCGATTCAAATAATACTTACCTAATTTAATTTATTGTCACCATTTCAATATAATTAGCTGTTATTTTACGAGAAGAATTCAAAATTAAATTATAACAATGCAAAAACAAAAAAAAAGAATTAAAATCACACCTATTCTAGGGCAATTTCAATTACTTCTTTTATTAGAGCCAAATATTTTTCCACATCCAAATATAAAATATAAAATGCCTCTCATATAAAAGAACGTAGCCATAACTTTTTTGCTGAAATAATAAATTTTAGTTTTTTGGGTTTTGGATATACCTAAAACAGCATCAGATATTTCTGGTTTTAGGGGTTTGTTTGCCCATATTGCCACAATATTTGTGATATACACTAAAAAAGCTTCAATATTTTCTTTGGACCGTGCTAGTAGGTAATGAGTAATCTACAAACGTGTCTGGTAGTGCTGATCCGTTAGAAGCAGTATCTTTTCAGACATCTTGAATAACTTCATTAACTCGGTCGCCAATCTCTTTTGTTGTTGACGTTTTTCACACGTTCTCAGCCATCTTTAAAAGCTTTACACCATAATTATATTTGCTTTCTATATCTAACCCATTAAAATCTAAGCGAATATATTACCTACTATTTTGCATAGTTCATTTTTTTGTATGATTTTCATGTGATCCATTATTTATTTTTCTATTCAATTCATTGAGCAATTATTTCCGCTATAGTCAGTCATTAATACAGCAATATGGCTAATATTTATACTTTTAATTTTACTCTTTAGTAAAAATAATGCTGGTATAATAATATTTCATTGCGGTATACCTGCTTTAAATTTGTACTCCATTAGAATTGACCATTAAAATTATTTTATTTTTTAGTTTGTCGTGCTCTCGGTATTCCATCAAGAGTAGTGTCTAACTTGGTTTCTGCCCATGATGCTAATTCAACATTAACTGTAGATAAATACTTCAATGAAAAGAATGAAGAAATGCCTTTTGATCCAAATAATCCCGAAGGAGAAGATTCTATTTGGAATTACCATGTTTGGAGCGATGTATACATGGCTCGACCAGATTTGCCTCCAGGTAAATAAATACTATTATTATTAAATTGTTTTTAGTCCATATTGAAAAGTACCTTAGAAGTGGGATTTACTGTTGGTTTCTAATTAACAGTGGTGTTCCTAAAGTGGCGGTGGGAAACAGTAACAAGGTCTGTTTGTAGGCGTGTATTAGTATTAGAGTACTAGCACTTCTACACCATGGAGTGTTAAACTACTAGCACTTCATAACCTACCAGAACACGACGCTAATGGCCTAAGTTGTCGAAGCCGAAGAAAAATACTTCAAATTCAAATTAAAAGTGTTGAAAGTGAAAGGAATCAGTTTAATCATCAATTGTTTCACTTTCAATTACAATTATTTAAAAATCGATCCTTCGATGGGATTTGATCACGTGTAAAACACATTCAATTAACTCCGATCACATCTAAGTAGGTACCCACACCGAGAAATCTGCATCGGTCTCAATCTCACTCTCAACAATTCCAACAGATTTTTTAAATTTAAATTCCCAGTGATTTTCCAAACAAAAATAAAATGAAAATGAACTAATGCTCTCCGGCTATTTAATTAAGCGTTTAATGGACGCCCAACAAAATAGAAGAAGTAAAATTATAATGTTTGGTTCCTACCTTGAATAAGGGTGATAGAGCCGTCGGTAAATAAACCTTATCTCTCTAACTCCCATAAGATATCATAAACCAACAAGCTTCACATGAATGGAGATGAAACTCTGTGATGATACTATGAACCTACACAATTGATACGTCGTCGAAATAACTGTCGAATTAACACATTACAAAATATAATATAAAATAATAAAATACATTCCTTAACCTAATTATACCCAAGTTCAAGAAACTATAATAACTACAAAAATTATATACAGTATGATATAAGTACTTATATTATTACAACTCCTTGCAGACATCCCTTGCTAACTGAGATCTTTATTCAGTCTTCTGATCTTGGAGAAATGAAATTCGAAGCTAGATTGTAAATTATTTACTTCAATTGTAATTTGAAGTAAAAGTTACCTATAAATAGAGCCATTTGTGATAAGGAAGGACAAAAGAATTAATCGTAACTTATGTCGTCCTCTCTGACTTACCTTCTGTCTCTTTTATAGATACGACCAACATGTTTTCTTTCTTTTTCAAGGTTACGGTGGTTGGCAAGCCATCGACGCAACTCCACAAGAAACTTCAGATGGTACCTACCAATGTGGTCCTGCATCTCTAGAAGCGATAAAGAAAGGTCAAGTTGGTTTCAACTACGATGTAGGTTTCATGGTAGCCTCAGTAAATGCAGACTTAATGCGTTGGAAAAGGGATCATACCAATGTTCTTGGATACACAAGAATTTATTGCAACAAATATCAGTAAGTAGCTAAATTTTTATTTGAAAACTATTAGGAATACATAATCTGAATTTCAATCTATTAACCCATTCACTGCTCATGACGTCTGAAGGCGTCATACATCTACTACGGTACAGTGCGCATGACGTCCTCAAACGTCATTCATATAACCTTGCTTTAAATGATCAGTTATTGTTTAGCACTGACTAGAACCGCATGTATTTTTATGAAATGATTTTTCTGAGTGATGGAAGTCAAGAACATTCTAGAATAACTCGGTGGATGGAAATAACTGTAGATGAACTTAAAACATTCTTTGCATCATTTTTACACATGGGTACAATTCCACTGAATAATATACAAGACTATTGAAAAAAGATCCACTCTTTAGCATCCCAATATTTAGTGCAAATATGAGCCGTGACAGATTCCTATTGATTTTTAGATGTCTTCATTTTTCGAGAAATCCTGTACCCAACAATCCACTACCTGAAGATAGGCTTTTCAAGATACGCCCACTCATTAATTACTCTAATGAGAAAATGATGGAAATTTATTATTCAGATAAAAATTTATCTTTAGATGAATCGATGGTACTGTGGCGTGGTAGATTGGTCATTCGCCAATATATCAAGAACAAGCGCCACAAGTACGGAATAAAACTGTACACCCTAACAGAGCCGCAAGGTATCGTTCTAAAATTCTCTGTTTACACTGGATTACTTGATGATCAAAAAAAAAAATAATACAAAAAAAAATAATACAAAAAAAAAATAATCAAAAATACAAATAATAAAAAAATAGACATTTTTTATAATTAATTACAAACTCAGGTATTTTGATAGCTGTAAGTCAAAATATAATAATAATGTAATCATGTAACAATAGTTTTTTTTTTTTTTAACTAAGTTAGTGGCACTTCATATAAACCAACAGGCCAGTCAATTGTCAGGTGAACAAATAAAAATATATAACAAACTTTATTACTTTACAAATTATATTAAAGTTCCTCTACCTTAATAACTAAAAATAACCTGAACTTAATAAGGTTTAGATGTTTTGTTTATTTATGTTTTTTTTATTTTTGTTTTTTTTATTTTTGTTTTTTTTTTATTTTTGTTTTTTTTTTTTTATTTTTGTTTTTTTTTATTTTTGTTTTTTTTTTTTTATTTCTGTTTTTTTTTTTTCATTTTTTTTTCTTCTCTTTATTTTTTTTTCTTTTCTTAACAATTTTTTCGAGTCAGGTGTACAAATTTTTTTTATTGGTAGCATCGCTACTTACATGTTTTATTTCTATTTCCTAATTACAATTTTAATTTGAGTGTTTTGACAAAATTATAGAGTATGTTATATATACTGTCAAATGTCAGTAGATTTTTTAAATTTATAGGTAATTGAATTTTGTTGTTAATTAAGTTTTGGTATAATAAATTAATTTCTAAATCGTTTAGAATACAATCCAAAAATATATGTTGTAAATCAGCAATCTCATCACAAATACACAAATCATTATCTATTAGACCTATTCGCTTCATATATTGAGGGTATAAAGCATGATTAGTTCTAATTCTGCTAATCGTTTGGATTAGTGGTCTATTTGACAGCTTATCAAACCACGGTTTTACCCTTATATTAGGTTGAATAGATTTATAAAAATTACCTGTCTCCTTCTCTACATATTTTGCTTGCCAATTTTGATCCCTTTTATATTTGAAACAAGTATTTAGATCGGATAGGGGTATTTTAAAATTACTTATGTAATTAAGTTTTGTTGCAGTTTTAGCCAAAAAGTCTACTTTTTCATTATTAGTGGATAAAACAATTAAAGAGTTATGGATTACTACAATAGTCTGGCCTTTTGGTTATATCCAGTGCCATAAAAAAAAAAAAAAAAAGTTGGGAAGGGTCACACGACCAAGGTAGTTATGAATTTAATGTTTGAGAAATAAAATGTTAATTTTAAATGACGTCCAAGAACGTCATGAGCATCTAAGTGTATCTTTCCATACCTAGTGCGCATGACGGCTTTGAACGTCATGTTTCTTTTTAAATTCTAATTCCGATATTTTTTCAAAAACCATATCTTTGAATCATTTTTACCAATAATTTGATTAAACCAATAAAAGTTGTATGAAAAAAAAAGTCAGCCACTGGGTAACGTATGCCAAAATTAGTCAGCAGTGAAAGGGTTAATAGTACTGCAATTATTACATTCCGTAGAAAAATAAATATAAATAACAATCACAAACTCTACATATTTTCTTTAATATTTACGACTAAAATTCATGCTGAAAAACTGTTGATACTTTTTTGAAAAAAATGTGACATTAATAATAACAAAAGATCAGTATGGATATTGTCAAATCCAACTTAAAACTAACATGTGTTGTAGAAGTATGTACAACAGTCACATGTAAGAGAAAATCAAAGTATGTGACAATAGTTATTCTTGACTTGTCGTGTCAAATCATTCCAAAAAATGAATTAAAAATTTGAAAACTAAATATTATTTTCAGCGTTGGTCGAATGATTTTGACCAAACAACCCTTCATGTTTGATTACAATGGTGACAGAGATCGTCAGGACATAACCATTGAATATAAAGCAACAGAAGGAAGTAGAGCCGAACGTCTGTCTTTGTTTAATGCTGTAAGGGGAACTGAAGCAGCAAAAAGATTCTATGACATGAGTAGTGATGTTATAGAAGATGTCGAATTTGATCTACTAGTAAGTTAATCTTAAAGTTCTAAATCACATGAATTTATAAACTTTTCTTTATTAAAAGAAATAATAATGTTTAAAAACGATGGATGCCCAAGTCACTTTGATTAAACAATAATAGTTTTATAGAATATACCGATAGTAGAATTTTAGACAGCTAAAGTATACTCAATAATCCTGTACAACATAATTGATGAACGGATTATGTTCCAAGAACTATATTTTTTTTTAGGAATTGCTTATGTCTCAAAATTAAATCAGATTAGATTTATAATTGAAACCCCTCTTATCATGATCTTTTCAGATTTATCACAGCGCTTCTGTTATCTTAGAATAATTATTAGTCTATTTTGAATTTTACTATCAAGGTCTACAATTTTCAAGTAGTTCTTCGTAGAGACATTTTTTTTATCACGATGTTATAATAGAACTTCACACCAAAATCATTTCGTAACAGAGCCGCCAAAATGATTAATCTAATAGATTTTAAGGTCTACTATTATCCCCTATTAACACTAAAAAAACATGAAGAAAGAAAACAGAACACTCTATGATATATTACATTATTATAAGTTGATTTAAATATAGAAATGTTTTGAAATAAAAACTGATTTCGAGAAAAACAAGTCAGTAACGGACCAAATGTTTAAAATTAAATGCAAATAATCTGCTTTGAGCATAAAATTGAACTTCATGTCCTATTTTTATGTTTTAATAAAGACTATGATATGTTCATCAGAGACCAATAATTGTTTTATGCTATGAAATAGCTAGATCTAGCAGGCAAGAGATCAGTTTAACTTGATTAACTTTGTTACACACAGCAAATAAAATAACTTGGAACGATTGCAGATTAAGTAGTTTCAATGTAAAACATGTTACAAGGCAAGGAGATTCATTATCAGCGCTAGAGTTAGAAGCCATTATCAGAAGGTCTAAATGATTTGGCAATATAAAGCAAATCAAAAAAAAGATAGTACTAATAATATACAATGTCCAAGAACTAATAAATGTAAAGACCTCGAAATGCAATAAAAAATGTTGAGTGATCCAGTCACTGATGAAGTCTGTTTAATAAAGATAATCATTCATAACAACATCGTGAAACCCAAAGTAACCTACGAAAGTCAAACAAAAAATCTGGAAATTCAGTGATAAAAAGGTATTAACCCATTTTTTTGCGGAATACCCAACACTGGGAAACTGTGTAAGCTAGAGAGAATGAACCAACGAAGAAATAGAAGTATTATGCGGATAATTAAAGATCAAGAATAGTAACTCAAGAGTTAAAATGGTTGAGATACATAGAAAGATTAAATAGAGAAGGAATTACGAAAAATGGTACATTACCGGATAATAATAGTTTACTTCCGTCCTGTTGGAGCTCTCCTAACATTATTGATATTTATAATCCACTGATTTAAGTCTTTAAGGCATCTCATGATATACTTAGAATATAATTTTTGATACTGCCTTTTGGGTTCGAACAATTTCTTAATTTCTCTTATGATGAGTTAGCAAAGAAACCTTGTATTTCGTGCATTTTTTTATACCTAATATTATTTTATCAATCTCATTCTATGAAAGTGTTTGTAAGTAAATGGAATCACACACGCAAATCAAATTTTCAAAATCATATAAAAAGCAAACCCAGAACCAGCCACATCTTGTTTGGACCTCCATACCCAGATTTCCAGGTTTACATTATTCTTTATGAAATTATTTTGTGATTGTAGAAAAATATACATCACTTGTGAAAAAGTGATTTTTAATACCTACTATATTATTTTGGGTTCTTTTAGGAATTGGAACAAATCAAGATAGGAGAGAGTTTCAGTGTAGTCGTCAAAATAAAGAATACATGCGAAAAAACCCGTAATATCAAATGCCAGCTTTCAGCTGCCACTGTATATTACAATGGTGTAAAAGCTCACCCAATAAGCAAAGATGAAGGAGAATTTAATCTCAAACCAAAGTCAAGTGAGTAATACTCGTTAAAGAGGCAACGGCAACTTGTGAATTTTTAGAAATTAGAAACGGTTAACTCTAACAACAACAACAATAACAACAAAAATTTGACAGTAGTATTATTATGAACTATTGCCGCGTTTGAGAATCCACATCCGATGCATCTGAGATGTAAAAAATCTTTGATCACGTAATTCAGTATACGTAAATGTAATGGGATAGATGTGTCCGATGTGGATAAAAAAACGCTCGAGATGTAAAAAATGCATCCGATGTGGATTCTCAAACGCAGCATATGTAGTTTTAAAATCGACTAATTTTAAAAATTATTTATTTAATTTAATTTGTGAAAGTTATTTTGTGAAATATAGCTTATATAAATTAAGTTTGTTCTTTTAAAGAAAAACAAATTTTTTTACAGCCGAGGAATTGAGATTAACTGTAACAGCAGACGAATATTTAGATAAACTTGTGGAATATTCGATTATGAAGATATACGCTATCGCTACTGTAACTGACACCAACCAAACGTGGGCCGATGAAGATGATTTTCAAGTTATCAAACCAGATATTACCATAAAGGTAAATGAATGAAAAAATAAGTTAATTAATTTTCTATTGTTTTAAAATGTAAATAACTAGTTTTTAAGTTATATTTTTCTAGGTAACTACTTTCAATGACCATATAAATCAAATAAGTTTCAATACAGTTTATACAAGGTGGACACTTTTATTTGAAATATATTGTTAGGGTCACGTGTTTATATGAACTAAGTAAACAGATTTTTTTTTACTACTAACATGAGAAATCACCATTATTTACTCCATTCCTCTAATGAGAAGTAATATTTCTCTCCCTAGGTAAATAATGATAATAAAAAAAAACCTAGGTAAATAATGAAACTAAATTTCATTAGTTTCATTTTGTTAATTTGACAACTAAACTTCCAGACTACTTGATATTTTGAAATATTTGAAAAATAAGTAGGAAATAACTAAAGCTGGGTTTATCAAATCTAATCAAATCAAATATGATAATATATATCAGTGTAAACAGTAAAAATATATATTAACTAGGAAATTCAACACCGGCTTTAAAAATTATTAATTAATAACAATAAATCCATGTCATTAAAATATCAAAAATGCAATGGGATATTTCCTAGAATCATACCAAAATTTGACACATGCCAAATTTTTACATAAATAAAGCCAGTCTGATTAGAAACACGCTCCAGTCTGCTTGATATTTCGAAATATTTAACAAATTGTTAGGAAATTACTTATGTCAAAATTAAAATTGCTAATACATTAATGTTAGTAGTAAAAAAAATTCTATATATACCTCGGCTGAGAAAGCTATTATTAATAATAGCTCACTTCTCACCCTAGGTATATAATGTACTATTATTTTAGCAGTAGCTAAAATGGTGCAAATTATCGACTTTATTATTTTCAAGCATTTTTGTGATTAGCACTGAAACCTAATGGTCAAAAGTATTGATTGAAAAGCATATTTTTCAAATTATTGCAAAATATTCCAAACTCAAATGTGACCAAGATGTAAACAATTAAGAAAACTATTGTGTGAAAATGTTGAGTGTCATTCTCTACATCACTCGCAGGTGCAAAAAAAACGATGCACCCCTTCTCATTTATTTTAAATTTTAATATTCTAGACTTGTTAAATGGCATATATAAATTTAGATATGCCCTCGTATACGTGAAATAAACCAATATGTTAACATTTTGCATTTCTTGTAACAAATGGGAATTTATGTTTTTGTTAAAAAGTTTCTTCTGATAAGAAATAAGATATTCATTGTTAGTCGCTTTTAATTTAACGACTAATTTGTTATCAAAACGTATTGCAGTCTTAAATCCAAGTGCAATAAAATGTCCTTAACACCGACGGACGCTGCAAGAGCGGTGGCTTTGATTCAAGATGGTTGTAGCCAATACTATGCAGCTGAGTGTTGGGCGTTGGTCGTTTTGCGGTTCATAGAGCAATTCAGCGATTTAATGAAACCGGCAACTTCACTGGGGGGCCAGGATCAGGCCGTAAAAGGGCAACATCCGAACGAGATGATTAATTTTTGGTCTCTTCATGTTTGAGAAATCGGCATCTAACTTTATTTGAACTGTCAAAACGTCTGAACGAAGTATTACATGGGGATGTAAGCAAATGGACAGTTCGTCGACGACGAACATATTTTATTATCCAGATCAGCCACATATCCACTGTTATCCGTAGAACATCGCAGAGCTGGACTTGTCTTTGCAAGAGAACACGAAAACTGGAATGACGCATATTGGAGCAATGTATTGTTCTCGGATGAGTCCAGGTTTTGTCTGAGGTCCCCAGACGACTGCGAAAAAATTTATAGAAGACCAGGAGAGCGATTTTCCCAATGCAATATTACAGAAAGAATAAGCTACTGAGGACACTCAGCTATGGTTTGGGCTAATATAAGTTCCGAAGCCCGTACTGATCTGGTTATTGTGGATATAGGTTCTATGACCACTGAAAGATACATAACAACCATTTTAGGTCAGCACGTCGTACCTTTTAGAACACAGATACCTCGTCCAAACAACTTGTCTGGGCTCTTCAGGCATTTTGAAAGAGGCATCAATTCCAACTGTTTCAAAAGACAGAATTGTGCAATTAATACCGAAATATTATGAAAAATATAGGAATTTAATAAGGTATTTAAAGTAGAGTGTCATAAAATTACTTGTTATAGCTGCTTGTAAATGTGATTTATTTATTTATTTATTTATTTAAACGGGCATACACCCTTTTACAATATATATAAACATTTATTAAATAATAAAGTATCAACTTAACCTAACTAAAATAACAAAAAAAAAAACACTTGAAAGGTAAAATTAAAATTAAATCTATCTGCATACATGTGTGAAAAGACCCGGAAAGTACCTACTAAGAAACATTTTTTTTTCTGATCAAAGATCGGTCAGAAAAATGAGCATAGGAAATGTAAATCGTGAAAAAACAAAGAAAATATTGTCGAATAAACAAAGTCAGTCCAGAGAAATCGAAAGACTAAAAAAATATGAATCAGAATCTTGCAATTAATTAAGATCCAGCTGTTCCTCTCAAACTACTACAGCTCTTCTTATACACATTTCGAGTGTAATTCATTCCTGCTAAATAGCTGAAGGAGAAAATATCCACCAGTGGACACCACATCGCCGAGAGGAAGGTGTAGTGAATTTTACACCGGACCAAACGAAAGGTATAGTGTCCGTTGGTGTAGTTCAGTCCTACACCAGTGGGACGAACGAAAGAACCTAATGTGTTACTTTTAACAGGTTTAGTATTCTTAGTGTTACCATTGATACTGTCCCAAATTACACCAGTGGTGTATCTCAGCATGTGTAATTTAGCTTAGTCTAAATGCGAACACTGAGGTTTACAAAGAGTTTTTAAAGGTAATACATTCCCATATTTTCTTCCTTCTACGAGTTATTAGTAACATACTATCCAATATGGTGGCCATTTGGACAATTGACAGAATATTTTCAGTAAAAGATTCATATCTAAAAATGTTCGATTAATTACAATTTTCATTAAAAATTTAGGTTTTTATTCAAAAATTAAAAATAAATTGCAATTTACTGTTATTTCCGGAAAAATTGGAAGCAAGCCATGCTGTCACAAAATAATTTAATACGTTATAAGTACCTAAGAAAGTTCCTGTTTGAAGCATGCAAACAAAAAAGACAGTTATTCGATATCTCAAATAATGACTAAAATACGACTTTTTAAAAGGTTCACCAATGTCAAAAATGCTTAGATACGCCACTGCCAGATGGTCAAGTCATATAGGCAGGCTCAAAACGCCGTAGGCTATTATAGTCGAAAGCCATGGCGAAAAATCAAAAATCACAAATCCAGGGAGTGGGTCCATGTCCACAAGCAAGTTGGAATCTTAATCAGTTAAATTTAGACGATTATTATTAAAAATGGCTAAATAAAAACGTGGAATCACGGGGTGCAATATAAACCAGCACACATGCAATTTTAGAAAGTTGTACTATTGACTTATAGTTTAATCAACAAGTTCAAAAGCGTGTTATTGGGACATACTATTACGAAAATTATGTTCAATAGCTCATTCGATTCGGAATAATGTCTAGATCAATGTGTGAAAAAACATTTTGCAGTGCATAAAAAATTTGTAATGAGAGAAATTCTAAAAATTTTGTTAATTAAAAATAACCTACTTTATTGGAAAATTAATTTTTATGAAAAATTCCAACGGGAATGAATTCTTCTAAGTGTTTAGAATACACCGTAATTTTTTTAAATTTTTGAATTTAATTTTATTAACTTAAAAAAATTATTTTATGTAACGTACTCGGTTTCGACGCCGTGCGCGCAACCTAAAAATGGCGCGCGGAAGGCTACTTTGAGCGTTAAATTAAAATTATAAATAATGGAGATACAGTTCCGGGAGTTGGAACTTATTTATAGCAAATTTCCTCCTCTTTAAGGATCTTTTTTGAAAAATCCAAAAATATTTATATTTTACAAACTATAGGCGAAAAACCAAACACCATGTTTTTGAGGTGTTTAATTGTTTATTACTTTTGCAATTTTTTATTCACTGCAAAATTTTTCTTCACACATTGATCTGTACATTATTCCGAATCGAATGAGCTATTGAACATAATTTTCGTAATAGTATGTCCCAAAAACACGCTTTTGAATTTGTTGATTAGGGGGCGTCCATTAATTACGTGAGGTGTTCAGGGGGGGGAGGGGATCAAGCTAAATCTTTCCAAATCTCACTTGGAGGAGAGGGAGGTCTTTGTAAATCTGACGTATTTTTTTTTCTAGTAGAAAACGGTGTAAAATTGCATGAAAATTAAATTAAAGTAAAGAATGTTTCTAGAAATTTTTAGTCTTAAATAAAAGTAATAAAACATATTGTGTTTGTTTTTTTAATAATCCAACGCATTAACACCCAAAACACAAATTTTGAAAAATCTCACGAGATATTAGGGGAGGGGGGAGGGAGTTGAGGAAAATCTTATGAAATCTCACCAGGAGGGGAGAGGGGGTCAAAAAATCCTCAAAAATACCTCACGTAATTAATGGACGCCCCCTTAGACTATTAGATAAACAAACCGTTACCCTAAAATTCGTCAGCTTCCGATGACCAACCGGTCCAGCGATGCTACATAACTTTGTGTCGATACCTATTAAAACGCCAGGGGCGGATGGGACACCGCGGACCAGCGCAGGAAGTCAATTGAAAGAGCGCCGCGCCGAACCAGTAAAAAATGGAAAAGCATGATTTTTTTATTAATAACCTAACCATAAATTATGTTACAATAACTCAAATTATAAAAAAGTACCGACGCACCGGAAATCTCCCGGTTGGACTCATTCGCCCTGTCCTTCGCCGTCATGTTTTGCAGTTAAAATGGTTTCCTCTCAGTCAGGAATTACTAAAGCACTCCTATGAGGAGATCTGACTATTTAACTAAGTCTCTGTGAGACATAATATGTTGTTATTACAGTTTAGAGATTTTTTATACAATGATATAATTTCGTTTTTAAACCTAGAACATAAAAAAAGAAAAGAAAACATTTATAACAGTTTAGAAAAAATAAAGTACAGTTTGTTGCTATACACTTATAAAAGAGTTTAATAAATTCGTCTTTAAAAATCTAGTAATGACCGACCAATAGTGCTTTTAGACTTCATCTCTTCACTACACCAAAAATCAACTGCTCACATTCACTATTTTAAAGACGTGAACAATGTTACTTCCAGAAAGAAACAAATAAATTAAAATTATTTTTAGGTTCCCCGTAATGTTATCGCAAGAAGACCAACAGTAATCAGCCTAAGATTTGTGAATCCGTTGAAGAAAACACTAACTAACTGCAAATTCCATGTTTCTGGTGCCTCTTTGCTTAGGAACCAAATAATAACCCATCCCGATGTTAAGCCTGGATCAGTCATAACAATAGACACCAGCGTTATTCCCAAATACGAAGGAGAACAAAAATTAGTAACTACATTTTCATCCAGAGAGCTGATGGGTATAACCGGAACGGCTAAAGTTGATGTACATTTACATGAAGAATAAAATTTATTGAATAATGAACTAATCTATATATACATATAAAATCATTTACGAATAATTTGTTTGAAATTGTTAGACGTAAGTATTTTTCAATAAACAAAATATAGACTTAATTATTTTCGTTTTCTTTATACAATATGTATATAGGATTGTTTTAATAAAATTCGAATGCCAATATATACAGGGCGGACCATTAGTGCGTGGAAGTCCTTTTATCTCTATTATTTTTAAGCTATTAATTTACGCTGTTGCTAGATACACGCTAAAGTGTACACAAATCAAAAAATTATATATGCACGCGAAACGTCATATTGCTGTGGTGGGAGGTGTTTGTGTGAATGCGTCATGTTTGTTTTCATTTGCGCCGTGACTAGCAGTAGTATTTTATAAACCTTAGAAGCAAATTTTACATACATGAACAAATAATAATAATGCCGTGACAACAAGAAAACGAAGCAACGACTTCTCGCAGAAAATTTCGATGCATACCTAGCTACGCCGACCGGCATGAACACCAACGGCCTGCACACAGCTCACCTGCTCTGTCAAGACGTTTCGCGTGTATATAACTTTTTGTATTGCGTACAAGTTAGCGTGTACCTAGACACTGTGATTAATATAAATTAAAAGGAGCATGCCCCTTTCTTATGAAAAACTGGCTTTCCATCAAATTTTCTGAAATGTTAATTTGTTGTAGAACTCGAAACTCTGACAAAAAGTATCCATTTGCACAAACCGATTCTATGATTCATTTTCTGTACCTCGAAAATGATGCCACTTTTTTGTAACCACATTTCTCATAACATACCTGTTTTATTCACGTTTGTTGTAGAAAAAGTGATTTATAGATTATTTGACAATAATTATTAAAAGTTGCTATAGAAATTGGTTAATCACAGTTCGGAAATATTTAACATTGTTTTTTTAAAAAAATATTTTTTTATGATAGCCTTAAAATTATGAACGCACCATGAAAATATATTTTAAGTAATTGCTTCTCAGTGATGCATTATATTTTATACAGGGTGATTCATAAATGTGGATACAGAGGGCATATATTGTTTTACAGCTTTAACGAGTATAAACGGTGTGTCTTGAATTTTTTTATTACATTAAATAAATGAACAACCTGCTACTCTAAGTCATACAGGGTGTTAAATCGATTGCAAAAACTTTAAAAAATATCAAAGACGTTTTGTGTGCAACACACTGTATTTTAAAAGTTTCACGGTCAACTTTATAAATTAATACATTTTTACAGAACTGAACAAAATTGTGTTGTATTCCAATGACTACTATCCAAAATTACTACAATTTGACAATGTTTTTAATATTAATAAATAACATTTCAATCTGAGAGAATTTGGATTAGTGGATAAATTATAAACATTATACAGATCTTTCATCTACGGGTCCTACTTTGTGTGTGCCGGAGAGAGTACCACTGATCGATCATTTATATATAAAAAGGATCGATTTTGTATCGATGTTGCATTGTATAACCGTTCGCGGAACGTCCGTATGATCTACCAACTTACAAACATCATAATAATATTGTATTACGATGTCATCAAATCCTCCTATGTATAAACGATTGTAAATTGTTCTTGCTTAGATATAGACAAAGTAGGCCCATATACAGGGTGTATCCGAACTTGGCGTCCAAATTTGTAGGGGTGGTAGTTCGCATAATTTGAGAGCGATTGGCAGATTTAATTTTTCTAAAAAAATTATAATAAACAAAATAGAGCCATTATAAAAAAAATCAAAAAGCGGGTCCTACCCTGAGCGCGTAGCGCAATAGTCGCCTGATCGGTTACTCATCGGGATTTACAACTCAAAAACAGATGCGATTTGCAAATTTCTTCCTCCGCCCGGCCGGTATCGAAAGACGTAGCCGATTGTTTATTTAGCGCGCGCGAGGCGATCCCATCGCTGTGCAGGACCGTACCTGTTTAAATTTTTTAATTAATTTTTAATTATTTTCTATTTTAAAAATTTTGGAAAAATGAAATCTGCGAATCGGTCTCAAATTATGCGAACTACCACCCCTACAAATTTGGACGCCAAGTTCGGAAACATCCTGTATTTATTCTGGCTAGGTTTGTATACACGTAGATATTAACTTCACTTTGTATTAATATAAATAATGCATTTATTTCTAATTTATGATAAGCAAAATAGATATTAAACACATTATTAGTGTATGGCATGATACTAGGATGAAGAGATAAGCTCACGCGCATATCTTCTCTCTTCCTCAGCTGACGTCAGCGCGTGATAAATTTTTGGCATGTTCAGTTCATTGTGGTAATATTATAAAGAGACGCTATAAGTATTATTTCGTACAGAGATGAAACGTCGCACTAGGCGTGGCTTAGAGTCGTAACAATATGGTTGCCTCTCCAGGTCCTGACTCTCTAAATTTATAAGAATTTTAATATATTTTGAATAATAGTTTTTTTTAACTAGGGCCCTATGAATAGGCAATGCATGTTTTAAAGATTGAAATAAAATAAAACGGAAAGAAGAGAAAACGTTCTTAAAAAGAAAAAATTATTTTCATTTAAACAAAACTATCTTATTACTGTGATGCCTTATGCTCTCAGATTTAGTTGATTTTAGTTTGGAAAAATGATATAGCCTAACATTTACGTACGCACTTATTTGCCGCAGCTTTTATTAACAATACCCGATGGTTATCCAATGCTGATTGATCCTAACCATGTACTAGTAAATTTGAAAACATATTTCTATTCACAAAATGTGTAAGGAATATATTGACTACAGATGCAACTGACATTTGTTTAAATAATTTGGAAATAAGTGTTTTTAAAATATTTTCGCTGTAAATATATATCTGCATGAACTTACACGGCCATCATAAGAACTATGTTAACATACGTTGCAGATGTTTGGGTACCGAAAACCCAAAAACTGACAGCTATCTGCAAACTAGAACAAATTCAGAGAACAGCATGTCTGAACATAATAGGAGCCATAAAAACCACACCGACCAGAGCCATGGAGGTCATTCTTAATCTCACCCCCTTGATATTTACATCAACGAGGTTGTTCTGATGACAATGACATGTCTCCGCATGGTTGGAATTGTTGGAATAGATCTTGATATATGATCTGGTAGGGCAAGATGTCGCTTTTGGCAGGGTCTCTAGATACGCTCCCACTGCTTCAAGCGAACATGAACTCTATGTTCCATAACCCATACAAAGTTATAACAGAACAAATAGAAGAGTCGGAAGTGGCAGATACGATTCATATCTACACCAACGGTTCTAAAACAAAACAAGGCTCCGGATGTGGAATGTACTTCAGATCCTTTACCCTTAACATGAAATGGGCTGTTGGCAATAGTGCCATTGTATTTCAAACCGAGCTCACGGGGATTCTCGTAGCAGCAAAAGAAATCACCAGAAATAATATCACTGGAAGAAAAATGCTCATCTATGCAGATAGCAGACATACACTCTCACACTGGACAGACCACAAATTTACTTAGAGTTAGTACTAGAATGTCACGAAGTTTTGGCTAAAGTATCCATCAACAATGTGATGAACTTAAGATGTATCAAAGGTCACGTCACATCAAAAGGGATCCGTCTTACTGATTCACTAGCCAATAAGGCAGCCAACCAAATACTTTTTGAACACTTCTATCGGACTGACAAATCGCTAGTGATAAACCTAATTAAAGAACATTCCCTTGTAAAATTCAAGGAAAGGAGGGATGAAACAAGAAGCTGCGGTCTTGTCAGGGAGCTCTTATGTTATCCTGACAATACTACAGCAAACAAATACTTGACTATGACTAGACAGAATCTGCGCCTGATCACAGGCATTCTGATTAGACATTACCTACTACGGAAGCATCTTCATATCATGGGGCTGGCAGAATCCGCACTCTGAGGGGATGTGGACAAGAAGATGAGACCGTCGAGCATATCCTCTACGATTGCCCGACGCTCTCATTTATTAGAAGATTTGTGTTTGGCGAGAATTGACTAACACCGGCCGATATAAAAGAAGCACCTCTTAGCGACGTTGTCAACTGCATTAAATCTGTAGGCTGGCTCACGAGCTAGGTGTCTTTCTACTTAGGATGTACAATGGGCCTAGTAAGCCTCGAGTGCCGTGGGTAAACCCACCCTCTACACGTTGCAGATACAGATCTATAAAAGAAAATAGATACAAATTCCTCGTGTCACTTATTCTTTAAAAATTAAATAAAGCACAGAACATAATGTTGTATTTATTTCTAAATAAGTCTTACATATTCTAATTGATACATTATTTACTATTTATTCCTATTTAAGTAAAATGCAAATTATTGATGATAAGTGTTGACATTTGATGGGTAGGGCTAATTATTTTTTAATTAAAGCTAAATAAGGCTGAGGGCATACTAAGACACAGTTTAAATGAAAATATTTAGTCAGGGATTTTACAAAATTTTATGAAAATAATAAAAATCAAATTGTTTATTGCTAACTAAAGTACAGAAAATACTGTTGGTATTAATTATAAATGAGTCTCGATGTTAAACATTATTTACTATTCATTATTTAATTTTATCTAAAAAAAAATGAAAATTAGGTATGACCAAATTTGAAAAGATTTGTCAAATGGTCAAATTTAGTAAGAACAGTTTTGTGGTAATTTTGTATTCGACAACTACAATTTCATCATCCTGGTGAATAGTTTCTTCAGCAATATGTTCTAGTATTTTCTTCCTTTTTTTTATTCTAACAAATTCAGTTCGGTTCAATGGTGGTTTCGTCTTTTCCTAATGCTGGACAATCGGGAATATACATGGTATTGCTTCGTTCTTTAATCTCGGCCTTTCTCTTTTTATTTTGTTAACAGTACCATTAGTTAAAATAGTCTCATCAAATTTTAAAATATCATCTTCTAAAAAGTGTAGCTCGCAAACAGAATCATAACTAGACAGTACTTTATCAGCCCTAGGAATCACATGCTGCCATTGTTCTAAACGTTTAGAATCCTATAAAAAATATTTGCAACAACTAAATTGGAGTTCAATAAAGAAAAATAACAGTAGTAACTCTTCATCTAATATCAAGAAACATAAAAA